TCCATACTCAATCAGAAGCTGCAAAATAGACCCTCTATCTTATCATTTCAGCCTTTTAGGCTAACATTGGTGGGATTTTTCCCCCTCTACCTTTTAAGCTTTGAATAAGGTTTCACTTAGAACGGCTCCTTTTTTGTTCTAGTGCCACAGTCCCAGTGCCTACAATGCAGGTGTGAAAACTGTCCTTAGTAAATGGCTGCTCCCTGCAGCATCAGGCTTGTGTTTGGTGGCCTCCCCTCCAATGACTGACCAGGCCTAGCCCTGCTTAACTTTAGCACATTCCTTCCAGGGAAACAGGATCCTTGTTCAGAATCTCTTTTTCCTGGTTTAAAAATACCCCAAATCAGAATCTGTCTCATTCCATGGATAGTGCCAACTGGCAGCTTGAGATCCTAAAAAAGAGACTCTTGTTTTATGGCAGAGATGGGGGAAGAGTGAGGTCCCTGGCCTCATCTTCCTCAGAGTTTCAGAGCAGCCACTGGCTGGGCCCACTGTACCCTCCTCACCATGCAGCAGGGCCAGTGAAACAGGGGCGGGGGACTCACCCAGCCCTAGCATCTATTCTTTCAGCTTCAGAACAGCCACAAGATTTTGGCTGGAAAACTGAAGTTATTCCTCTCCCAACAGCTCTGTCTGTGCCAAGCCAGCATGGGCTGACCCCACCATCTCGGCTCCTGGACATAAAACACTTCCACAGACCTCAGACTTCAGCTCTGCATGGAGAGTAGCAACTGGCTGGGTTGGCCTGCCTGCAAATTACCCCAGATGGTCTGGAGTGGCAGGGGAGTGGTTCAGGGCGTAGGAGAGAATGAAACAGAAGAGAGGAAAATGAGATTTCCCTTCAGGGAACTGTCCAGTCAGTGTGTGCACAGCCCAGTGTCAGCACCTTGGGCAAATTCTCTGAATTCTGCCTGTTTGGACTTGTGGGAACTAGTAATGGCAGCCTGAGCAATGACCGTTTGGGCACTGTTGCTAAGTGTGGGGCACACAGCCTGCAAGGCTACTTGGGGCAATGTTGATGAATGTCTGAGGTTGAATATCTTTGACTTTCAAACATTATATGCATGAGCTAAGAAGCACCGTGGTGTGAGAACCAGAGGAGAAGATGAGACAAGTTCTCTTTGAGTAAAACAACTCTATAATCCTGAGGTTTAGGAGTTTCCAGGAAGCACCAGGAGTTCCTGATTGCAGCTCTTTGGCATGCTCCATCTCTTTCTAGTTCAGTTATTAATAGGTCTGTTTGCTTTTCAGCTGGCAGGGTTGGCTGTCATTACCTTTGGACTATGGCTGCGATTTGGTGGGGTCCTAGGAGACTTAACTTCAGCGGAGAAATCCCCTGAGTCTTTGTACATGGGTAAGTGAAGGGGACTTTGGTTGTACTACCAGCCTCGCTTTAATCAGCAGGTAAGATCCCAGACGCAGCTTTATGCTGCACGAGTGGGGTGCTTTAAAATTTCGGTGAATGGCACTGATCTTGTGTCTTGCCCTGCCATGCCATGTTAATGACTAGTAGCCTCTCTCAATTCTCTCCTTGGCAAAAGCTTTTGCAGACTTGTATTTGTTCCTAAATACGATTTCATGGTTGAGTTTTTTTCAGTACAGCTGGTGCTTATGAAACGGAAGCTGGGAAAGTTTGCACACTCATTCAGGGCTGCCCACCACAACATCCTTGGGGGCTTTTCCTTGCTGCTGCTAGCCAGCACTATAGTGAAGTTGGAGTGATCCGTATCCTGGCACATTCATGTTTCCATGCAATTGCACTGGGATCATTTGTGTAGCATTTGGACCTGCACCAGAAACAGACAGGAAGATTTACTGCTCTTCAGTTCTTCTTGCCCCTCCCTACAGGCCCCCAGTGTTGTCTCAGTGGAACTGGAACAGATCCTGCCATGGTTGAAAAGTAGAATTGCATTGTTGTCATCTCCAGAAATGTTTCCCCATCCCGAGCAGGTACTAGCTCAACTCCTGAGCCCTAGGCTGCGTTACTTGCTCTTATATAAATTTAGAGGTGTCATTTTCCTGAAGTGCCAGATGTGCTTTTCAAGCCCTCTTGGGGTTGTCTGGGGGCTCCTGATGTGAAATATTTAATATGTGCCTAATTGGTTGCTGTACATTGTGCCTGTGGTTTCACACTTCTCTTTACTCAGCCATCCATTGCCAATTGTGACAAGCATCCCGTGCCCTTGATTTGTTTTCCCCTTTCCTCTCTGATCATATTAGGAGACATCAGCGTCAGTCTATTTTAAGCGTTAAGCTTGAGCTCACTCAATACATTCTGATCATCACACTCATTTCATCCTTCACCAATGCCAAGTGTGGAGGAATACCCAGTCCTTGCTGGCAAAACAGCATCTGGGGAGCTCCAGAGGAGACAAGATCCTGGCTGCTAGTATGAGAGTATTAAATGTGAATCACTGGAGGAGTTGAGTGCCCGCCAGCAGTGAAAGCTGACCCAGAAGCATTGCACAGCAGTAGTTATTTCTACCCTTAGTCCAATTTTAACTCTCTCTCCAGTTGCCTTTAAATGTCCATTGTACAGTTGGGAATTGACCCAGGCCCCAGCCCCTTGATGGATCACATGACACTATTTATGATTTGCAAGTTAATGTATGGCTGTCATGCTCCTGCAAGAGAATGCCTCAATGTTTTCCCTAATCCTGGTATCTTGCAAGCATCACTTGCTTAGCTCTCCTAATGTACAGCCATCCTGGCCTGCAGCACTCCTGCTACACTCATCTCAGCCCTGAACTCTCAGCTCACTCTGCAGTAGTTTAGAAACAGGAAGGGTATGTCCTGTTAAAACTGACGTGGATATTTAAGGAGGCAGAGTGAAATTATTCAGATTGGAATTTGGCCAGGACACGCAGCTCAACACCCCTTCGTTGCAAAGGGTCCCATAGGATTTTTAATGTATTGATCTCTCATATGTGAGAGATTACCTCCAGCAGAACATACTTTTGGCAGGTTGCTGGGGCATTACTTTGAGCCTATGGTGAAATAACTGGTCAATTGGCCACACTATGTCCTGGAGATCTTCCCTTCCCCATGTGTTTCTGAATGGCCTAAGAGATCTGAGGAGACAGAATGTTATTCTGTTTATTACAATCAACTACTGATGGTTCATTTATAGCCAGTATGTAGTTAAAGGATAGATGACTAAACCCTGGCAAAAAGCCTGTGATTCGCATGAAGGGATGCGATGATGTTGGCTTAATGCAGATTCTAGTATCCTTGCTAATCAAAAAGTAGATTGTTCTGGCGAATGCACAGTAGGAAATTTGGAACATGCCGCTGTTGCTGCTGAAGACTTACATGGACATTCCAAGTATTGTTTTGATTTTGGTCACTTGAGGAGAAGCTTGAGAATGTCCTTGTGAAAGGTCAGTTGCATCTCCTGCTCCAAAACTGGCTTTAATTTCTGCCATGTTCATTTTGCCTGGGTATTTGCAGAACCCCTTCACTGCGGAACCTAGCTGCTAAGAGGGGAAGCTGAGGCACAGAACCAAAATGTAGTGGGAAATCCTTTGAACCTGAACTGATAACTGCACCCATTTGTGCTGCCTGCACTGGTCAGAGGGAAAAACGATTTACAAGAAGAGGGAATCTCCTTGTTTCTTTCTGAGATCATCATGCCAAGAAACCTAAAATTAAGTACCTTGCTTTCTTTGAAAAGGAAAGTGAGCCCAGTTCATATGCCACCTCTAAAGAGAACAGTGACACTCACGTGACCTCAAGATTTTAGTTCAGTGCATTTCACTATCCGGTAATTTCCTGTACCTGAGTGAGCTTCTCATATTGTAGGGATGTTACCTGTAAGGTAAAATGTTAAAGCCCAAAATGAAGCCAAGATGATCCTGTCAAGCTGGGCATTACGTTTGTGAAGAGACAGCGGACATGAGGAGAGAGCTAAAGAAACAGTAAGTGAAACTCCAGCACAAGGGCTCCCAGACAAGCCCTCTCAGCCACCCATAGAGTCAAGCTAGACTTGTCTGTGGCACTCTGGGTATCTCTCCCCCCAGTGCCAGCTGAGGTGTTTGGCCTTTCGGGGCCTAGACTTTCCCAGGTAGAGGATAGAAACAGCTTTCTCGTAGGCTCTGGACATCACTTCCCCACAGAATGAGTCTGTTGAGGGTTATGGGACCATTTGAGACCCAACCCTTCCCTCCAGCACTGGCTGGGCAAAAGGGGAAGGCTTGTGTTCTGGCCCCGCACAGCTGGCTGCAGGACACTCGCTGTATATCTCCTAGCAAGTACAATATTAAATCGCAGTGGTGTCAAGGACAGTAAAATACCATATGAATGTAGCCAGTCTGTGTTGCCTTGCAGTGTAACAGGAAAACGGATCTGTGTGAATGAATCAGTCTGGCTGACTGCTCCCTGCAGCATACTTGGCTCAGAAGTGTTGCACGCCCTGCACATTGCAAACTCTTTGCCACTTTATTACATTGTACTTTTCCACCCCAGTTATATAATCTGATCATTTGTGAGGGCTAGAATGGCTGTGGTTGGAAATACAGGGAAGGCTGGGGCTCTCCTTTCCGATCATTGACGAGACAGAGTGATCTTACTAGCGTTGAGTGGCAATGGCGAGACAGAACATGCTTTAGGATATGAAGTCATGTCTGCAGCAGAAGGATATGAGCAGCTTTTCTCCATAGTGGTGGGTACCCACGCAAACAGGAGCAGCTCACCACATGACACCATATGACCTGCAGCTGCCTACTCCTGTGCTCAAATCTTTCTCAGTGCTGCCTGGATGTGTGTTTTGGCACATGCACCATACCCAAGTCAGCACTTTAAGAAGTCCTGTTCAGTCAGTTCCAAATCCACAAACCCTTCAAATTCCAGCAGACCTTTAACATTAGAACTAGAGGCAAAAGCAGCATCTGAACACAGAGGCATAATTCCACACCAGCCACTTCTGACCAGCAACTGGGAACTGCTGCTGTTGCTCATGCCATTGCATCTCAGTCCTTGTCTTACAGATACTTTCATCCTCCACCTTAGGTTCAGATATTTCCTGCACTCCTTATATGCAGGTACCTCATACTGCAGTCAGAGGATGGTTTGTATAGAAAGGACCCTGGGTAGAAAATAAAAGTCACTGACGTGAAAACTAATTAAAAACTGAACCCGTTAGAAAGTCCTCAGCATGCATAGGCTTTATCAGCTGCTGGGAGCTCCTCTGAGCCAGGTCCTTTCTGTGTTGGCAAGGAGAGTCTAGCAACTATGACATAAGAGTTCAAGGGGGAAAAGCCATTTAAGCACACTAATCAGAGAATCCTGGAAATGCAGGGCAGGAAGATCATCGATTCCATCTTCCTCCCTGTGGTGGGGCAGACCAAGCAAAAACAGACCATCACTGACAGATGTTTGTCTGACCAGTTCTTTAAAAACCTCCTGTGATGAAGCTTTTTTGTAAACTCCCTTAGGATCCTGTTCCAGAGCTTAATTACTGTTAAAAGTTTTTCCTAATATCTGACCTAAATCTCCTGGCGTAGATTAAGTCCCTTATTTCTAATCCTACTTCCAGTAGATGTGGAAAACATTTGATCTCTATCCTTTTTATAGCAGCCCTTAGTGTATTTGAAGACTGTCCTCCTCTAGCTCTCTTCTCAAGACTAACCAGTCCCAGTCTTTTTAACTTTTCTTCAAAGGTCAGGTTCTTCTCAATGCTTTACATTTGTTTAGCTCTCCTCTGGACTGTCTAGGCTGGATGGATTGTATTCAGTACTCCAGCTAAGGCATCCCCAGTGCTAAGTGGAATGGGACAATTGCCTCTTCTGTCCTACAGTCCTGTTAATACATTCCAGAATACATGTTATCCAGTCCCAGTCTTTTTAACTTTTCTTCAAAGGTCAGGTTCTTCTCAATGCTTTACATTTGTTTAGCTCTCCTCTGGACTGTCTAGGCTGGATGGATTGTATTCAGTACTCCAGCTAAGGCATCCCCAGTGCTAAGTGGAATGGGACAATTGCCTCTTCTGTCCTACAGTCCTGTTAATACATTCCAGAATACATGTTATGGGTTTGCAAATGCATCCTCACCTTCACCTAGTCATTTTGTGATCCACTTTGCCTGCAGCTCTACTACCACCTAGGCTGGGGTGGGCAATCATTTTTGACCGAGGGCCACTTCAGAAATATTTGAAGTGGCCCCAGGCTGCCCCAGAAGGGGCAGAGCCTCAGGAAGAAGGTGTAGGGATGGGACACTTCCATGCTTCCCCACCCACAGAGCCTGATTTCTTTGGTGGTGCGGGAGCGCATGAAGTCTTTGCCCTCACCACTCCACCAAGAGAGAACTGCCAGCTGTTCTGAACAGCTGGCAGTTCCCTTTAGGCACCCATCCTGGTGG